AAGTCCCCAAGAGAAGGCTGTTGCGTGAGCTGGTCCTTCGACCTCTGAAGGTTGTACACGCTTCGTGACTTGATGACACAGGTTTCTGCCCCCTCTGATGAAGCTTCCGCCTTGAGGAGCAACCGACGATAGAATTCGGTGTCAGGCAGTCCGGTGTGTTGTGCTTTCGGTTGCCAGTCTTGATCTTTGTTCGAACTCTGTCCCGTCAGAGCAAGAGCAAGCTGATCTTCGTCAGCCATGGGCCTTTTCCGCTTTCTCTCCGCTGAGTCGGCTTCGTTGAACGTTGAGAAGGCAGACGACTCTTCCTTACCAGCCATGATAGCCACTACGCTCTCTAGAATCTCCAGCAGTCCAAACGCCCGTGCAACCACATCCGCATCGATCAGGACCGGCGCCTCCGGATTAACCGGCGGCGCCGACTGCTGCCAGGCAAGATCCCAGAGTGCCAAAGCCTCACTGGCCTAAAACCTAAGGAAATCAAAGTCGAAACTTTCAGAATCGACTACCTTACAAGAGCACCAAAGATTGAAAAGTTTGGTTTGCAGCTAATAAGAAGCCGAAGCAAGCATGGCAAGTTTCCACGGACACGCGCCCATCTGGGCACCCTGACCCACGTCACCATCTTCTCGAGCTTGAGCCACCATAATATTAAAATAGCACGAGTAGCTCTTGAAAAGTTGCTTGCCGCTCTCTGAGAACTCTAGGACGCGGTGCTCCTGCTCAAAGATCTCAGTGAGACGCTGCGCTGCCGGGCGTAGTTCAAGCTCTGGAGGAACGTCTACATCTCTGTCTGCCATGGACCACTCTGGCTGAGGACCGTCTGGAGTCTGGCGAAAGCGAAGTTTAGTGACAACGCCGTCTGGCAAGGTGTAAGGCCAACCCACTGCATCGGGAAAGAAACCTGCGTCCGTGAACTCAGCAACACCGTCGATGAGGTCGTCCTCGTGCTTTAGTTCCACTGCTGCCTTCTCAGGACTCTCCAAGCAGTTCAGTCGCAACAAATCAAGCAACACACTGGGGAGTGCGCAGTACTCTACTTTGGCATCCAAGCCGACAGATTCGTACTCCTCATGCGGCTGGATGGGCTGCCCACTGGCAAACAGGAAGCGAGCTTTTGTTTGGCATCCGTGGTCGCCACGGAGCCCGCGAATCATCTCCACCGCGACGCCGGGATGAAAATTGCCGGCTAGGGCTGTGTTGACGCTTGGAGAGTGCAAGCCGCCGAACGATCCACAGCTCTTCGTTTCGAACGTGCTCACGCCCGTTTGCAGTAGCCTGTTTGCCCACCCAGCATTGGGGGTTTGACCAGAAACATCAACGCCTCCAGACATCTGTTTCTTTGCAGCGGAACTTGGACTGTCCAAGATGCCGAGTTCCATTAGAAACTCATACGCTTCGTCAAAGAGCAACAGCGTAGAAAACCAGGTACGCCCTCGCAAGCCCTCCCCACTTGCAACGGCGGCTTCGGCTGCAGAAGCAGTAGCAGACGCATCAATGCCTGGCAAATCCTTGAAGGCTTTAGGATTGTTTTGCACAAAGTTGAAGTCACCACTGCAGCGCTCCTTGCAGCGCTCAATGGTGCCGCCAAGATATGCCACTGACCATAGACTTAGTCGCGCATGTCTGTCATCTTGTGCCTCGGCTGGAGCAGCCAGGTCTTGCATCAGCGTGTCTTCGTGCCTGCCGTCTTCTTGTACTGTGGTAGTCTTCACCTTGGCATCCACACTCTTGTTCTGGAGAAGTCGGCGAAAAGTCTTGCGGACGCATTGGTCTGCTACAGATGCGAACACCTCCGCAATGGATGTGAGACCGCTCTTGCGCGTCTGACTGTAATTACAGTTGAGAATCCACAAGGCGACCGGTGAGAGCCCGCCCCAAATTCGAAGCAAAGCTCCGTTCGAGGCTACTACGACACCAACCAGCGCGTAGAGAAAGATTGGCAGAGCTGGGTGGCTTTTACGAACAGACTGCAGATGAATAGCAGCGTGTCCACGTTCACCCAAGATCCGCTTTCCACTAGCAGTCCACTCCTTCTGCACATAGGTGTAGACGTTCTTCATCGTGGAAATGTACTGCTTAGGAGGGCTCGACATGATGGCGAGACACAGCCGGACTCAGCACCAAAGCTGTAATCAACAGATCAAAACCCTGGAAACTTGGGCCGTGCGCTTTCATGAAGACTCAGACACTATCGCTGGCCGTGCGCTTTCATGAGTTTGACCCAGACGCACAATGCCGGAACACTCTCTGCTTTGGGCACCGCCCCGCCTCAAAGCAGCTCGCAGCTGTTTATTTTTTTTCACTCGTGGTGAGAGTGCCGTTCTTCACACCCCCCCCGTGTGTATGCGTCAGTGTTTGTTTTAGGGTTTAGGGTTAGGGCAACGAAACTGACGAGCCGGCCACTGCATCTGAGGTCGGAACCTGAGCAGAAATTAAAATATTATATCTGTACATATTTATTACATATTTATGTTGTTTATATATTATAAAATATATATTCTATTAATTAATTATATAGGGTTTAGGGTTTAGGGTTTAGGGTTTAGGGTTTAGGGTTTAGGGTTTAGGGTTTAGGGTTTAGGGTTCAGGGTTTAGGGTTTAGGGTTTCAATATATATATATATATATATTGTATTATACAAAATATTTATATGATATGTATTTTTCGATATATTATATAAATACGTTGTGTCTAATTTTTACATGTTATATTATATATATTATATATATATAATACATATATATATATTATTAAATTATATTATATATATAATATATATTATTATTATAAATAATAATATATGTATATAATGATAATAATAATAATAATAATATACACATACTAATCTATTTTTATATATATACACATATTGGTATTGTTATTATTCTTATGAATAAAAATAGATGTATATATATATAATAATAATAATAGTCATATATTTATATATACATGTATTAGTATTATTATTATGAATAATATACATATTTATATATACATATATTAGTATTATTTATTATGAAAAATAATATATGTATATATATAATAATAATAATAATAATAATAATAATATACTTATAATAATATATTTATAATAATATATTTATATATACATATATTAGTATTATTATTATGAAAAATAATATATGTATATCGCAAGATTTTAAACAAAGCTCACACCTATATAGACCGTACAAATACTAATGCAAAGCTTCTGGAAGAAGCAAGTATGATAGCATTTCCAAGCCGGGACGACCAACGAAAGATACTACTATTTAGTGAGTTCCATAATTTACGACGGGCTAAGCTTTTAGGTCATATACTTCGTAGTACAGATTCAGATCCTTTAAGACAGGTATCGTTTATGCCCAGCAGTGCCACTAGAATCGAGTATGGCAAAAAGCGAGTTGGGAAGCCCCGGCAAACTTGGATACACCATGCAAAGAAGTTTGTGTGGGAAGAGACGCTTGGCAGAATATCTTATGAAGAAACCCCGGTACAAGATAATCTCATCTATAATGCAGGTTTGCAAAGACAGTTCTAAAGCGTCTGCAGAGGGTAAGCCTCCTTTTTGCTGCGCCAACGCCGTGTCTTGAAGTTGACGTACAGTCGATTCACGGTATGGCTTCGGAAAATATATGTATATATATAATAATAATAATAATAATAATAATAATAATGATAATAATAATAATAATATATATATATATATATATTAATATATATATATATTATTATTATCATTATTATTATTATTATATATAATATTTTTCTATATAATATAGATATATATATATATAGTATTATTAAACATTACTACGATGTGGTAACAGGGCCTTCTTATACAAGTAACTGAAATGCTAATGTTCCTGATATTGCAGACCTGACAGACTATTTAAACTCTTCCGAGGCGTTTCAAAATCTTCACACTTTTCAGGCAGCCCAGACTTTTCAGACTTTTCAGACTTTTCAGACATTTCAGACTTTTCAGACTTTTCAGACTTTTCAGACTTTTCAGACTTTTCAGACTTTTCAGACTTTTCAGACTTTTCAGACTTTTCAGACTTTTCAGGCTTTTCAGATATTCCAGAATCAAACAGATATCTGACAAAAAAATGAAATGTCTGGAAATGTCTGAAATATCTGAAAAGTCTGAAATGTTTGGAATGTCTGAAACATCTGAAAAGTCTGAAATGTCTGAAATATCTGAAATGTCTGAAAAGTCTGGGATGACTGGAATGTTTGAAAAGCTTGGAATTTCTGGAATATCTGAAAAGTCTGAAAAGTCTGAAAAGTCTGAAAAGTCTGAAAAGTCTGAAAAGTCTGAAAAGTCTGAAAAGTCTGAAAAGTCTGAAAAGTCTGAAAAAAAGTCTGAAAAGTCTGGAATGTTTGAAATATCTGAGAAGTCTGAAATGTCTGGAATGTTTGAAAAGTTTGAGTCTTTTAGGATTCCTGGAAAGTATGGAATCTTGAAAACGTTTGGAATGTCTGAGAAGCTTGGAATGTCTGAAGAGTTTAGAAATTTTGGAATGCATGGAATGTCTGAAAAGTCTGAAAAGTCTGAAAAGTCTGAAAAGTCTGAAAAGTCTGAAAAGTCTGAAAAGTCTGAAAAGTCTGAAATGTCTGAAAAGTCTGAAAAGTCTGAAAAGTCTGAAAAGTGTGGAATGTCTGAAATATCTGAAAAGTTTGAAATGTTTAGGATATCTTAAAAGTTTGGAAATCTTGGCATGTCTGGAATGTTGGAAACGTCCGGAATATCGGAAACGTTTGGAATGTCTGGAAAGTTTGGAAATTCTGGAATGTCTGGAAAGTCTGGAATGTTTGACACGTCTGGAATGTCTGAAAAGTTGAGAATGTCTGGAACATCTGAAACATCTAAGATGTCTTGAATATATAGAGCGTCTGGAAGGGTTGGTATGCTAGGAATATATTCAAAACGAGCTAAAATATATAGAGCGGCTGGAAGGGTTGGTATGCTAGAAATAAATTCAAAACGAGCTAAC